TCTTGGTTATTACAAGCAATGCTTTCGAGAGACAGACACTTTCAATTTGTAAAAATCTATACACATTGAAATACCGTGGATTGAATCCTGGCTTTATCTAAGCTGATGAGAAAACTCCTATCTTTCTGAAGGAGCCATGTGTTGGATCCCTGTTTTATAGAGATCAGTTCTCCTTTACTTCTCAATGCAGCTTTTTGTGGCACCCATCTCCAGGGTATCTCAAGCTTCTTTTAGATCTGAAATGGGAAGTTAGTCATGAGATCTGTGGTGGTTACAAGCCAGATGTTCTTTTATTTTTTTCGTACTTCGCAAGTGGGAGGACAGAAGGGAGAACCAAACATGTCCATTTTTATGTGAATGTGCCATTTCCTTGTGTGAAATTGCACATTGTGTGCATTCCTTGTGTCTAGAATTCTGGTTTTATTTACTTTTTCAAAATCCTAGAGACATAAAAGGATTTTTGCATGTTTTTTCCCAATTCTATATATATTAAAAATGCCCTATGTGTTAACATAGCACAGAAAGATTCTGCGTAGTCAAGAATAAAAAAGCTCTTGCAGCAGTGTGCATAATTATAGGGCTGCTGTTTAGTCATCAGTCACGATATGTGTGAATTTTTTGTGAATTCATCATTTATTCTGTTTCAGATGTAAACAGAATTTACATGAAGAGTTTAGTTTGTTCAGCACAATAGGTCTTGACCCATCTGAATCTATTAAAGGCTATTATAATACTAAGGCTGAAGACTAGCATCCTAATCAGGGACATGTTCACAGGATTCCCTTCAATTTGGGAGAGTGCTTGGAGAACCGGGTCTTGTGGTTGTGCAAAGATATAAATGAGACATCCAGATTTAAATTAAAGAGCTACATTTTTCTGCATTAGTTTTTCTGTCACAATAAGTGCATCTGAAACAATGAACAGAAGAATATACTGACTGCCTACTTGTAATGGGAAAATGGTTTTCTTTTTTGATATATTGCTCATATTGAACTTCTGCTTTCTTTTTTTTTCCTTTTTTTTTTTTTTTATATAATCTTCCTCTGTGCTGCTGCAAATCAGCCAGAAGAAATCAGCAGCTCAGTTGTTGATTGCCTGCAAATGAGTTGCCAGCATCCTGCAATTCTGCTGGCTTGAAATACTGTCTCATCTCCTTTACAGTAGTAATGAGAGCTGAGAAGAGCCAAGTGGGGTGGTTCTCCATGAGCAGGAGTGTGGGTGGAATCACTGTGTTTTGTGGCATGCTGCTCTCCATTCTAGAGCTCTGAAAATCCTCCTGCCTCAACCTGTGAGTAATGGAATTTAGAAGAGCAGAAATTGTCTTTTCAGGTTAACGGGTAAAAATCAGGAAATAGTCATGCTTGCACTGGTTCCTTGTATTTATCAGAATCATCTGATACGGCATCAGATTTCCAAATCCATTTTGCTGACCAGTGGGAGATTCTGAAGTTGTAGCTACTTGTGAAGTAGTAGCAATTTACTTACTGTGGATTATATTTTTACTCCTTCCCTATCTCCCCACTCCTTTTGCTTATCTTGGTACAATGCTGTTTATAAGTGGTATTTTGTAAGTGTTCTACAAGGCTTCTGGAGAAGAAAGGAGAAAAGCAAAGCATGCAGTTGGTCCCATGAGTGGATTATCAAATGCATCACGAACTTCTTGATTCAGAATAATTGTTTTATACTTATTCCTTTCTTGACACTCCTTTCATAGAGTATGCTCTTGATTGTGATGAGTCAATTTGTAATGCTGAAACCCTTGGATTTTCCATGGATAAGGATTTTTCTGAAGAATTGCAGTATCTGTTCCTTGAAGTGAGATGTAACTCCTGTGATCATGCTCTCAGTTTCTGAAACTGGTCCAATCCACTTGGCTCAATACCACTGTGACCTTTTAGATAAGACAAAATGTTATTCCTTGGTGTATGTTTTATGTACACCAACATGGAGCGAAACAAAAAAGAAAAAATGACTGGAGCATGTAGAAATCTGGTAAAAAGCAGAACTTTGAGAACTAAAAAAAATCAATTCTCTGCATGCCTAAATATTACACAGGCATGTGGCTTGGTAAGTCTGTTACAATTGTTTGAAGAAAAAGGAACAAAACCGATCAGTCCCTCAGATGTTAGAAAAAGAGATGCATGTAGAGGAAGATCATATAGTAAAGGACAAAGCAGATGGTAGGAGGAAAGCTTTGTACAGCCTTAGCAAGGAGGTTTAATTTCAATGCATTGCTGAGAATGAATGCCTTTTCTGCTTCTTTGAAGCAACCTTGCTTTCCTTGACTTCTATGAGATTGACTTGATAGTTCCCTATTGTCAGTAAAAGATAAGGTCTGGTTAGCAGTGAAAGACTTCTGCTAAGTTTTCAAGTTATGTCATGCTCATACACCATGATTTTTTTTGCTTTCAGGCAGGTGAGGGTCTTGTTTGATGGATGCGAGTACAGTCACATGGACTGCCTAGGTAGTTTCAAGTCCTGTGATGGAATGATAATCACTGCCTTAAGTAGGAAGCTTTTTCTCTTTTACTTCCTTCCCCTCTGTGCTGTAATTAGACTCCAGTAGCTGGCTATTTGTATCCTCCAGGAAACAAAACAGAAGCTGGGAGTGCTCATTTAACTGAACCCCTTGGTGCGATAAATTGCCTGGCTCCTGGAAAGCACTGACCACTGGCTGCAACAGTGGTCGTCCTAAACCCAGGCTTGTTTGTGGTCTAAATCCATTGCTTTCACTGGAGTTACACAAGGGTTAAATTTAGCTGTCTCAGTAGTCCAAGCAACCCGAGGAGCAAAGTGTACGAATGCCTTTCAGCTTCTTGAGGGCTATTGGTATGCCTGGTGTATGCTTAACTCCAGCCATGCTCGTTGTGAGGGATGCGAGAGCAATAGAAATGTTTAAAGTTCCTTTAACATTATCATGAAACGTTAGTAAGAGCCATGAAAGATGAAGAGGTAAGAGTTTCCAGGAAAATGAGCTAAGCTTTAATCCGCACTTGTGGATGTCACATCCCTGCCAGAGAATCGGCTTCTCTTGTTCAGGAGCTGTAATTGCAGTTGCCCTTCTGAGTGACCTGTCAAGGGAGCCGAGGGATGCAGATGAAACTACAGCATCATCAGGTCATGGGAGTCAACGTATAGTTTAGAATACAGTGGCAGAAACTGTCTCCCCACAAGAGGGAAATGTAATTTCTTGCACCCAGTGGATGGTAGTTCTGGTTTCTCCACAACATGTAAAATCTGGATTAATAATTAGATCCTCAGTTTTGGTGCAGAGGACTTTTTGTAATGTATTTTGGCACCCTGGTCTAGTAATTATACAGAGATGACCGCTGGAATTGATAGTGCAGGCCAAATTTGGGAATAGCAACAGGATGTGTTGCTGCTGTTGAACAAAGGCTACGTGGCTGTTTTTATATACAGTTCTTTTTTATGGTCCTCTCTTAGATCTTTTTTTCGTATTGATTGAACACAGTAGATAAACAACCGTCTGTGTAGCATGAACATTTATTAGGGCTTTTAAGCTAAGGACAGCTTTGAATTAAATATGAGAGTTTAAATGACAGTTTTCTAGTAAGTGGTGTCTATGAAGACTTGGCTTGCAGTGGCAATACAGTTTCATTTAAGCATGGTAAAAAGAAATCTTAATACAGGCTTTGTTTTCATATTCAAAAAGAAGATAAAACACTGGAAAGTTGATTACAGGAAAGGCAAAGGCTTTTTTGATTTTTCATATCTATGTAGTTAAGTGTGGGCAAAGACTGCATTTTGTAATATGCAGCTGTGTGCATGGTGCTCTCAACAAACTGTATTGTCTTGTCCTGGCGCTTTCTGAGAGGTTTGTGTAAATTAGTCAAGTGTCCTAAAACGTGGATTCAAATGGAACTGCCAGGTGCAGTCTGGTAGTTCTGCAGTCACTTCCAATGAAATTAATAGAAAACTTTCTGTTGACTTTTCAATGACTTAGAGTGGACCCTGGGCTGTCGTTGTTAATGTCTTGGAAAGATCAGGATCGATTTCCTGGCATCCTTTTCATCTCTAAGGAGGCTCTTTGCAATTCTATGGGAGACATAGCAATATTGCTATTCCTCTTCCTTGATAAATCCCTGTATAATTTTAAATTGTTCTACTTGTCATCCAAGGCTTTGTGAATAACAGAGGCAAACTGAAAAATGCTGAATTCTGGGGGAGTTGTTGGTATCTTAATTGCCTGAATTAGTATTTCTGTATAATGCCAGGCTTTCCCCCACTCCCAGGTTATTCTGAATTTTATTCCAGTACTGTACTGCTGTTGTTTTTCCTTCCTGATTGTGGGGAGAAGAAAAAAAGAGACTGTTCCTGCAACTGAAAGCAGTCTGCCACACTGCAGTGTATAGAGCAAGTTGTGTTGCATTTAAAGTAATGCTGTTTCACTGCAGTGTAGTAACACAACCTGCATGTGGATAGCTCTGGGGACCTACACCTTTGGATTTCTGCCTTTTAAAAACCACCTGAAGCCTCTGCAAAGTTTCCACCAAGCAGGCTTGTGTATCTTGCCATGAAAAGGTTTATTCCAGTAAGTTAGCACTGTTGGTGTTGTTTGGTGTTAATAATCTGTTTTGGGAGCATATTTGGGCTGTCCTTGCAACAGGTCAGAATGAAATTATTTCTCTGGCTTTGCTGGGTAATGCACCACATCTCTGAAAGCACAGGATTTTCTTGTGCAAGTAAATGGCTGTGCTTGAAGTACTACTGTCCTTGCACCAGGAATATAAAATCCACCCAAAAACATACAAGGTTTGGAGAGAAGGGAGTATTGGGAAGAGGACCAGGGAGCTCCATTCACAATGCTGACCTTTGAAAAGGGTAATCCTTATGCTCACATTTCTTCTGAAATGTTTAACCTGCCCCACTGGCCACGAGAGGGGATTTAATTTCTCAGCTTATATTGGGCTATTTCTTCAGGTGAAGTGTTGATATGTAGGCTCCTCTGAACTCACTGCCATACTTTCCTTTATTTTCAGGATACTGGGGTTGGGAAATCAAGCATTGTTTGTCGATTTGTCCAGGACCACTTTGACCACAATATTAGCCCTACTATTGGGTAAGTACCACGCATAGTATCTTTTTGCTTCTATATATTTTTTTTTTAACTCACAGCCCTCTGTTGAGCTTCTTTCTTTTCCTTACTTTCAAGTCTGTGAATACTGTATATCTTTTCCTCCCCAATTTATCAATCTCACTCAACCCTTTACTCTCCTTTAATGGCTTTCAGCTCATACTATGTGTTTGGAGAGTGTGGGACTGCTCCAAACCAAGTCTGCTCTGCTCTCCCTGCTCTGGGAATACAGAGGGTCCCTCAGCTTACTGGAGCATAGTCTTATTATGGAGAGGCTAAAACAGCTCTGCCATTCTCCTCCTGTGAATGGTGTCTCTTGAAATAGCCTCTTTTCCTGACGCTGTCCAGAGCCATGCGGTCTTGGCTGGTGTTGTGCATGGCCATGACTTCAGGCTGTTCTGTTTTGTTTTTCTTCACCCATCTTACACCAAGAGATTCTTAGATGTCTTACTCAGCTGCTGTCTTTTTTGTCTTGTCAAGAGCTTCCCACTGTAGATTGTATTTTGGTCATAGGACCTTAGGATTAAAGTAATTTTAGCTCCTACTGGTCAATGAGGTATCAAACCTGATCCTGAGAGCTTAAAGAACTGAAACCCCACATCCCAAGAGGCTGTGATTTGCACAATGACCAGGGCACCCCATAGAAGGGTAATGGCAAAAGAACCATGGAGAGCCCTTGCTGACAGACATGGATCTGTGTTGTGTGCACTGCCAGGCTGGGCTGGAATATGGACAGTGTCTTCCCAGGTGTGGACATGCTTTCATCTAGGTTTGGGACGTATCACGTTATCCCGCCTTTCTCAAAATAGGGACAATGCAATTTAAGTATAGTTAGTTCATACCTCTTCTTTAAAAACTGCTGAGCTTCCATGTGTCAGACCATCAGAACCTCATTAATTCCGTGTTCGCTTAAACCGTGACATTCTGTAGTTGATTTTAATTCCAGATCTTTTTCTTGTAACATCTTGGGGATGAATTTGTCAAGTCCTGTGTTACCTGGAATATTTTGAAAATTGTTGTTCTCTTACAGGAAAGGAAGCTCATATGCAGTGTTTATGAAGGAGTGATTTGGGTGGGAAGGGCTGACCTGGCTTGTGTGTTAGAGCTGTCTTGAGTCATCTGTGAAGGACTGGTATTGATTGCCTTGTGTTGTTTAGAGGGTTAGATGACAGCTTTTAAAGCTCTGCCTTTCAATGCATGAAGCGTTTTCAGCTGGAAGTTGCACGTTGAAGTTCCAGGGCAATTTTGTACTCCTCAATGTGATGAATAGAGAAAATGGACAGCGAGAAAGGAAGCAAGTAATGAATAACATTACTGACTAAAGGACACTTGCAGTGAAGGAACTGATGGGAACTTGAATGGTTCTTTACTTCTAAATCACCAGCAGCCTTTTTCTCCAAGTAGTTGTTGTTGCTAAGTAAATGTCTTCTGCTCAAATAGGAAAAATATTTTTCCCTCTGTTATCATAATTATGAAAAGTAAAGGGAATTTTTTTTCCATTTGAAAATTAAAGTGTGAAGGCTGCCTTGCATGTGGGTGATATTACTTGTTTATACAGATAAGGGTTTTACTTTCGTTTTCTTCCAAATTAATAAAATATTTTAAATATACAGTCTACAATATACAATCTACAGTAGCTACTGCAGCTCTAAAGTTCCTGTTTTTGAAGCTGTAAAGTGTTACTTAATGCTTTGAGGGGAGTGGCAGCTGAAAGCATACATCAGAAAACAACCAAAGAAAATGCTGTTGCTTTTTTGGCCTTAATATTTTTATAAGCAGTGCAGTATTGTTAAATTCAAACAATTTTCAGTTGGCTGTAGAGGAGAACTCTGGTATATCATTCTCAGGAAATGTTTTGATCAGTGACACATTGTTTGATATCATTCAGTGCTTTTGTAATGAGAGTGCATTGTATCAAATGCGTCTTTATGAGCCAGGAAGAAGGTTACCACAACAGAAATTGTTCATCAGTGTCCACACAGGATGGAGGGTGGGAATCTGACAGAGTTTGGGGGTCTCCTAGGCAGCTTTCAAATGAAATGCTGTAATACAGAAAAAGCCTATGAATTTGTAACCTTCTTTCCTAAAAGAACAAAAATCACTGTGAAAGCACAGATAAATCACTTCTCCTACAAAACCCAGAAGCCACAAGGACTTCATTTATCTGAGGTGAGAGGGGGAAGAACGTTTTTCCATTTGTTCACCATATGCATTCCACAAGATGACTTTTCTGTTCCCTGGTGATCCAGTATTCTAGGTTTAACTGGAAAACTGCACATTTTTTTCCTGGTATGGTGCTGGCTGATGCCTTTTTCTTGGGCCCATATCACTGAGAAGATGGAGGTAGCTATTAGAAGAAGTGTGAGCGCAGCAGGAGCATTTGTGTTCCTGGGCCTGTGTACAAATGCCCCCTAAACCTCAGAGGCTTTTTCCTGCTTTTAAGATAGATATGTAGGTATCGTATATTTTATCTGAGAAAAGGGAGACTTTCACTTCCGTAGGAATTTTATCAAGGTTTTGGAGTTTCCTCATATGCGGTCTAACCCATCAGAACTTCTTGTGGTCTGTGCATTGCATATTCAGAATGGTGGTTGTGTTACAGATTTCTGCTGCTTCCTTCTTTTCAGAGCATCCTTCATGACTAAAACAGTGCCTTGTGGGAATGAGCTTCATAAGTTTCTGATCTGGGACACAGCTGGTCAGGAACGGGTGAGTATTGCATTGCTGTATGTCTTTGTTACCCAGGTCTCTTTTAATGTGTTGGCATACTTTATCTAAAACTTTCATCTTCAAAAGACTTTGTAAGTGTAGACCTGAATCTTTGCAAGGCTCTGCAAAGCAGGTGCTCAGCAGTCACCAAGAAATAGGTTCCAGTTTCACAGGTGGGGAAAATGAAGAGGCAAGCTGAATTGTCAGCCAGTTTCCTCAAGACAATTCAGGCAGTGCGCAAGCTACCTCCAGCTCCCCTCTGGTTTCATCAGGTTTATGTGTGTCAGCTTTTGCTGGTGTTGGAAAGCACTTGACTTCCAGCTCATGGGCTGGTGGGTGGTCTGAGCTTAGGTCGTTGATGAGAAGCTCAACATGACCCAGCAGTGTGCGCTTGCAGCCCAGAAAGCCAACCGTATCCTGGGCTGCATCAAAATTAGTGTGACCAGCAGGTCGAAGGAGGTGATCCTGCCCCTCTGCTCTGCTCTCGTGAGACCTTACCTGCAGTGCTGCATCTAGCTCTGGGGACCCCAACACAAGAGGGACAAACACCTGTTGGAATGAGTACAGAGGAGGCCACAAAGATGATCAGAGGGCTGGAGCACCTCTCCAATGAAGACAGGCTGAGAGAGCTAGGCTTGTTCAGAAGAGAAGGCTCTGGGGAGACCTTGTAACAGCCTTCCAGTACCTAAAAGGGGTCTACAAGAAATACAGAGAGGGACTTTTTACAAAAACATGTAGCTATAGGACAAGGAGGAATGGGTTTAAACTGGAAGAGAGTAAATTCAGATTAGATATTACGTAGAAAATTGTTACTGTGAGAGTGGTGAGACACTGGCATGGGTTGCCCAGAGAAGCTGTGGCTGCTGCATCCCTGGCTGTGTTCAAGGCCAGGTTGGAAGGGGCTTTTAGCAACCTGGTCTAGTGGAAGATGTCCTTGCCCATGGCAGGGGGGTTGGAACTGGATGAGCTTTAAGGACCCTTCCTAACTAAACCATTCTATGACTCCACGGTTGTCCTGAGTTGGGACATTGAATATAAGCACAGGTTGTGTCTGCTGTTAGTATTTTGGAAATTAGTAACCTGAATCACTTTGGGTTTTCATCTTGATTTTTCAAGTGTGTGAAGTGAATTGTTCAAATTAAATTAAGTGGCTTTTCATTTGGCTTTTCAAAAAAAAAAAAGCCATAATGGGGCTCATGTGCATTATGTTGACTGTATGTAAGCCTAGTTGGTCTTTTAATAGCCTCAAGCAGTAGTATGCAGTAATATGCTGTAGAACTGTAGAGTTCATTTAAGACATGCCAACATTTATCTTGAGATGTTTGAAAGATGTGGAAAACCCCATGCACATGTTTTAAAGTATCTTCAGACTTTCTTGTGAAATTGCAGTGTTCTTGTTCATAGAGAAATACAGCTATGCTCAGGTTGGAGTAAAATGAGGTGGTTATATGGGCTTAATGTCAGTCCTCATACATTCCACTGTATTCTCCATACCTTATATGTGAATTGCAAGTGATGAAGATTTTGCTCTTAAGTGCAGGAAATGCTTGTGCTTTTATTCACAGTGTGCAGCATGATGTAAAGTAGCCCTGATGAAATCTACTGGCACTTAGCAGTTCAGTATGTTATTTATGATGGGAAAACAGATCTTGAAAAACATATTTGAAGTATAGCATAATGCCTTTCCTTAAATCTTGTTTTTTCCATTTCTTTGTGGTCTGGAGCTGATAACTAATTTGAGCCAGGAAATCTGTGACTGAGCTCTGACTCTGGGACACAGGGTCCGTCCTTCCTATCTAGTCCCTTATGTTTCCTCTGCCTTTTTTTTTAGCTCATATTTTTTCAAACATCTGCCTTTTTTTTTGTTTCCTTTTTCTGTGCCCAACAGTGATGAGCAGTGACCACCACAAACCTGGTTAAATTGCTCAGAATGTATTACAGATAAGTTTTATCTTACAGGTTTTCATGTCTAGTTGTAAATTGTAACCTCTTTAAGCCAGGGACCACCTTTTTCTTCTCTGTACAATGTATTCGCAATCCTTCACTAGGACTTTATGAAACTGGGGTGATAGAGTAAACAAAGTCAATGGGTGTTGAGTGCCAGCTACTGAGACAAGTTTCCCAGGGTGAGGTCCCTACTGTTCCAGGTCATTCTCTGTCTTAGAGCCATCCTCATTTTACAGCTAAACATATGATGCTTCTCAGTACCTTACTCACTTTAGTTTGTATCTGGGATTTTGGTTACTTTGTCCTGTGTTGCTCTTTCTCATCTGCTGTTCAGGAACAAATTTTTTCCCCTGTTAACCTCTTTCTCATAATCTTCCTCACAACAGTGATGAACAAAACCTTCCAGCCTAGCCCAACCTCTGGGCCAATTGCAATACAATACATGTATTCCGAGTGGTGTTTCTGCTCTGCGACTTGTTGTTCTTCCCTTGTTTTCTGCAGTTTTTCTGTGAGGCTTTATGTTCCACTGCTCCGAGTGGTGTTTGAGACTTGTTGTTCTTCCCTTGTTCTTTGCAATTTTTCTGTGAGGCTTTATATTCCACTGCTGTAGTCTGGAAGTTTCGTCAATGCTGATAGCTGTGTTTAGGACTTCCTGCTTTTTCAACATTGCCTGCCTTTGGCTATGTTCTCCTAAATGCAAGGCCAAGCATAGGGCTTGCGTGTGCTTATTCTGGGGTCAGGGTGCTCTGTGCTTCCCCAGCTGTTGCTGTGTCTACATGCTGATGTGGAGCCTTCACAGCAGAGGAGCCCTGGTTGCGATTTAACCTAAGCCTTATTATGACATTACAGTTAATCTCAAACCTTAAGCATGGTAGAGGAGGCAGGTGGAAATAACAGCAGCAGGTCTTCTGTGCTCCTCGTTCATGAGTTTCACCTTTCTTACGAGTTTTCTCCTCCTTTGTCATGAGTTTCTCTGCACAACAAACTGGGAAACTGCCAGCTTGGAGACTGTAGAGAAACCACTCATCAGTACCTTAGTCACAAGCGCTTATTTAAGCAATGCTCAATGAGAACCAGTGTGTCTGCTGGCTGCCTCCAGTCAGCTGGGAGAAACTGGAAATCCATGTGGCTGCTGTATCCTGGGTGCTCAGAGAAGCCAGCTGGAAGCACTCAGCACCCCCTTGAGGCGTTGAATCAACTTTCAGGTAGCCACTTGTCATGTTGCAAGCCTTTGGAAACGCTGGTCATTGTTGGGTTTAAAAGCTTTTAGGAATAACTGAGTTAGTTGAAGCAGCTTAATATACAGGCCAGCCAGTCAGAGGTTGGGCGTGGAGAACAAATAACTTCTGGTTCATATGGATAATAGATACAATATTTTATTTCTTCTGTGTCAGGAAGCTTGGAATTGCAGGCAAGAGTAGTGAAGGAACCAGAATTGCAATTTTGTGGGGAAATAATGAGAAATGTCACTTCTGCAGAATGAAAACAGTGCAGAAAAAATGGAGATCAAAAGCATTTCCATGATAGCCTTGGTGGAAGCAAAAGCTTGGCATGCGTCCTGGAGGAGACCCTGGAGAGGGGTATGTGGCTCTCCGTCAGCTCTTTGCTGCGGAAAATTCACATTGTACTTCATTACAAAAGGAGGGAGCTTCTTAATCCTTTTATCTCGTTCCTTCTTTTCCCTTTTTGGCTGGAGAGAATCTTAAATTGGCAGCACACTTAGCAAAATCCCCTACTTTTCTGTGCCTAAGTACTACTCTCTGCAGACCCAGTTGCTTTGTGCTGTTGTGCTGTTAGACAAGTCTGCTTTATTCTATTCCTCAGAATCGCTTTCCCTCCACCCCACCATCTTCCAAATGTCTCTTTTTCCCTATCTTCACTTCCCCCCCCCCCCCCCCCCCCCCCCCCCCCGGTTTAAATTGTTGCTGTGGACTTCAGGACTTCAATGCACAACAATTATGTTGTTGTTAGCAAAGATTCCCTCCCCTAAGAAGAGTCTCTTCACAAGTTAGTTAATGATGTTTTTATTAGCATATATGGTGCCCTAAGTAGCTTCTAATTACAATGCTTTGTGTGAATACCTTGGGTGGCTGCCAGCTTTCCTTTTTGTCAGCTGAGGAATATTGTAGCAAATAGTCAGGGATTCTGAGGGCTGTGTTTCTAGGGCAGGAAAATTTATCTCTGTCCTTTCAAAATGTAGTGTGCTGAACTGTGGGATTTTTAATTTTGTTTAATAGAAGGAGCCTCAATTACTTGAGCCCAATTTAAATTTGATAGGAATTACCCTGAGCTGTGTGCTTACGTTATTAACTGCTCCATTTCAAGTCAAAGGCTGACTGAAGGAAGATCTACAGCGCTTTATAGCCCCCTCTTTTCTGAGTGCCAGTAGCTGTCCTGGTGATTCTAAGACACAAGTTAGGGTGTGAAAACTGCTCCTTGAGAGGAGGACTTGTCCTTGCTGCAGTCTTGACTGGGGCGTATTCCCTAAACTGAGTAACCTAATCACTGAGCTTATGGATGTGTCCTGAAACCAGACTATCCTGAGAGGAGTTAACACCAACTATCAATGACTTGAATTAACTTCTGCAGTCAAGACATAGCGTGGATTTTGCCCTACAGTTTTATATAGGTGATGCTGATGATAGCCCAGAGCTCAGTCAGCATGGAGGTGGCTCCTTGTATATGGTGCAAGGACCTCTCTGCAGTGAGCTACTGCTCTTGCGTGCTGCAGAGGTCAGCAGGTGACTTGGTAGTATGTGTGTTTGTGAGCGCACCAGTGGCATTAGAGCTAGGAAGTGAATATGTTATTTTTGCTATTTTTAGAGTGAGCATAAAGCATGGTAAATTGTTTAAGAGATGCGCGTGGATGTGTTGTTTCTTAAGCACCAACAAACTTGCAGCATGTATAGCAAAGTGTTGGAATTTTTCCCTTCTTCGCTTTTAGAATTTTTACATATTTGAGAAAAATGCTCATTCTTCTTAAATTTGGCTAGCAAGAAATACACGTAGGTCAGAAGCAGATCTTTCCTGATTTATTCAGCTTGCAAATCCTG